AGTTCCTGCACCGCAGCATCGTGCCCACCATGCACTACCAGAAGAGCCTGCCCAGGTACGCCGGGGCGCGCCGCTCCGGGGGGACGCGGGCACCGGACGGCGGCGGCCCGGGGTGTCCGCTGTGAGGGGGCAGAGGGAACGTCCGCCCTGGGCACCGCGGCTCGCTGGGTGCGCGGCTCGATGTGTGCGGAGGAGCGGGTTCGGCTTTCCAGGTGTCAGTGAAACCCGTCACAAACCTGCTACTGAAACATCCCCTTAGCGCCCAAAGTAACCCCCTGAGTGTAACGGGATTGTGCTATAGGAAACAAAACTCGGGCTCTGAGGTAATTGACAAAGATTCCGAATAGGAAATTTGTCAGAAAGAGATGTCCAGCACCCAGCTGTGAGGGGGGGCCCTGAACAGCGCTGGCAGCCGAACTAACCCTCCAAGAGAGCTACCTCTCCTAGCAGCGGTTCCTGTCACACTATTTCCTGTAAGGGATTAGCTCCTTTCACTGCAGTACCTTTGTAAAAAGACAGTCAGTTTGGTTTTCTGCCTTATTTCCCAAGAACTGTGCTGGGGATTTGGTTCCAGCAACCAAAATCATGGTGTACTGACTGGTATCCATCTAGTTCCTTGCTTCTCTTATTCCACAAGAAACTTATGAGGCCTTTGGATAATGTGCATAGGTATTACCCAAATTTATATATAATGGGATAGTATATACTGTATAGTGTGTGTATATGTCTGTGTAGTATATATAATTGTATAAGGAAGGATATGGAAGAAAGGAGGCAAAGAGAGATGACTGTGTAAGAAACACTGGCTTTATTCATATCCTTGCTCATCAAGTGCACCTCTATGTGTTCCACTTCCTTCAGACTGCCTGTTCCCAAGCTGGAAGATACAATTTCAAGATACCTGAATGCCCAGAAACCGCTTTTAAATGATGAACAGTTCAGGTATGGGCAAACACACATTGCAGTGTCATGTTCTGCTTCAAAGCCAAGTGTTAACATAAAAAATGCGACTTGTGACAACACTTTGACTCTTTCCTTGATTGTTGTAGGAAAACTGAGGAACTTGCTCATGCCTTTGAAAAGGGGATTGGAAGAGAATTGCATGAGCAACTGGTTGCTCAAGACAATCAGAACAAGCATACAAGTTACATCACAGGTAGGCTGGCCTGCTGGGTACAGGACAAGTCTGTAGATCATCATACTTCATAACTGCTCCTAATGCCATAAATATAATAGGCTGAAGCTTTAAGTAGCCCAGAAACTTGGAATAACCTGCTGTGAACACTGTCTGTGGCTGTATTTGAGCAATTTCAGAGGCTGGTAGAAAGAAGAATGCTTCTTATCTAACTTCATCTATTCTAACAGAATTCTGGGTAGATAGATACTGGAACAATGGCATTTTTTCATGAGTTTATAGGGTTTAGGTTAAAGAGGAGCTTATCTAGCACTTCCCTTAAGGAAACTGAAGCAACAATTTCCAAATAATTCCATGTTATTTAGCAAGAAAACTAAACTTTGAGGAAGGGGAGGGGTCACAGACTATAACTAAATTTTGGAGGCAGAAGTGGTCAGTACTCGGGATTTAAAAGCCCTTAAAACTACAAAACTATATTCTTTCAAAAAGCCAAAGAAAAGGAGTGACAGAAATAGGAAAATGAGAATAAATAGAAACAAATCAGGAGAGGGAGAGCATGTATATAGACTTTTGATTATTCTGCTTTATTATTGCTTCCATGTTGAAGTGTCTACTCATGAAACTATTAGATAGCAGCAGAGATGGAAGTAGTCAAATACCTATGGAAGTAGAAGTTTCCATGTTGCCTATGGGAATGCACTTCTATTCTTGCTGTCTGTTCAGACTGCCTGTTGTTAGCTGCCACTCAGTTTGTAGAGAATACCAGATTATTTCACAAGAGCTGCTCTTTGATTTGTTGTATTTTACTTTCCATTCACTTTGAACAATGTCTTGGATTTTAAGTGGTGGCTTGATGTTGTTCATCAGTGCTAACCAGAGTATGCTGCTTTTTTGTCTGTGAATTTTGGGTGTCTGTATTGCTTTTTGTTCAGTCATTTTTCTTCTTTATGCCTCATAAAAAACCTGTTCCACTTGAAATTGGTTTCTGAAATTATGTAGAGTTGTCTCCACCCTGGACTTTCAAGTCTGAGGTTAAAAGGCTATGTGTTGATGACTCGTGTGGTTTTAAAACTGTAGATGAGTGTTATTTACTTACCTGTGAGAACCTGTAATTAAAATTGTAACTTAGCCCCTGGAACTACATGTTGCTTTTCCTGCAGTCTAGGCAGAAGGTTCAACCTCATGCAAAATGCACTCAGTGACAGAAAGGTTCAGAAATTAATAGTTTAAGAGTAGGTAAAGGCATGAAACACTCCAAATGTGAAGCGTGCACCAAAACATAGAGCTGGGGATTTGCACTGTATGTCCTAGGAGTTAAGGTTTATCATTGAGCCATACAGAAAACAGGGAGTTGGCCCTTGTTGCTAATGACATGAACACCCTTGACACAGATTATTCTGAAATCAGTGTTTTTGTGATTAGACAACGGTATCCTTCTTCATAATGAGGTTTTGGAGAAGCCTTGGGTGAATTATTGCATATGTTTTTCTTGTTTAAAGGCAATTTAGCGTGTGTATATTCATGATCACTGTTGGACTACGTGACCCTCTGGTCTGACTCAGGAAGCTGCTTTTACGTTCTGACCTCTTTCTCAACTCTCAATTTTCAGGTCCCTGGTTTGACATGTACCTTAAAGCACGTGAGCCTGTTGTTTTGAATTTTAATGCATTTATGTCTTTTAATCCTGATCCGAAATCGGAATACAACGATCAGCTCATACGAGCGACGAACATGACTGTTTCCGCCATACGTTTTATGAAGACCTTCAGGGCTGGTTACCTTGAACCAGAGGTTTTTCACCTCAATCCAGAAAAAAGTGACACTGAGATCTTTAAAAAAATTATCCGATTTGTGCCTTCTTCAATTTCTTGGTTTGGTGCCTACATGGTCAATGCTTACCCCCTAGATATGTCTCAGTACTTCAGGCTTTTCAATTCTACACGGATTCCTAAGCTCAACAAAGATGAGCTTTATACAGATGAAAAGGCAAAGCATTTACTAGTGTTGAGAAATGGAAATTTTTATGTGTTTGATGTTATTGATAGAGATGGAAACATGCTGAAACCCTCAGAAATACAAGCACACTTGAAATACATCCTCAGTGACAACAGTCCAGCCCCAGCCTTCCCTCTTGGCTACCTCACCAGTGAAAACCGAGATACATGGGCATTGCTGAGGAAGAATCTACTGGAGAATGGCAATGAAGAAGCTCTTCAAAAAGTAGACTCTGCTATGTTTTGTTTAAGTTTAGATGATTTTGCCATTAAAGATTTTGTGAACTTGTCCCACACTATGTTGCATGGAGATGCTGCAAACCGCTGGTATGACAAATCCTTTAATCTTATCATAACTAAGGATGGCACTGCAGGAATTAATTTTGAACATTCTTGGGGAGATGGTGTGGCTGTGCTCAGGTTCCAGAATGAGGTTTTTAAAGACAGCACCAAGACACCAGCCATCAGCCCCCAGTCCCAGCCTGCTTCAGTTGACTCCTCCAGAGCAGTGCAGAAACTTGACTTTAAGCTGAACGATGCCTTAAAAGCAGGGATCACCAAAGCCAAGCAGAAGTTTGATGCCACTGTAGAATCACTGTCTCTTAACATGATTCAGTTCCAAGAAGGGGGCAAGGAACTTCTAAAGCAGAAGAAGGTGAGCCCTGATGCTGTGGCTCAGCTGGCCTTCCAGATGGCTTTCCTTCGCCTGTATGACCAGACCGTCGCTACGTACGAGTCTTGCAGCACTGCGGCTTTCAAGCATGGCCGTACAGAAACCATACGTCCTGCCTCTGTCCACACAAAGAAATGCTCTGAAGCCTTTGTCAAGGAACTCTCCAAACACAGCACAGAAGAGCTGCAGAATTTGATAGTGGAGTGCTCCAAGTACCACGGCCGTTTGACGAAAGAGGCTGCTATGGGTAAGTAGGAATAGATCAAACACTCCTTCTTTTGCACTAAAATGTCCATTAAGGTTGCTGTAAATACTTATAACTAAATAATTTAATGTTGATGGAGATCTAATGTAAACTTGACAAAAATAGTAATAGTAGCAAAAGGCTGCAGCTTAAAGTGCATTTCCTCATTTCTTGATGGAGAAGAGTGGCTCTGTGCTTCCCACACCACTTTTTTTGTTGGGAATTTTTTACGCTTCAGTTTTTGTCCTTAAAGCAGTTGGACTCTTCTTTGAAGAGTTCATAAATACTTAGTGCATGTTGAACAAGAACTTTGGCTTATCTCTGCAGGGGGTAAAGGCTTTAGCAACTTCAAATAAAGGCTTTAGCAACTTCAAATAAAACTCATTTTTTGGCCATGCTACTCCTGGTATTTTTCTAAATGCTTTCTTTTGAATTATCCTTCTGAGAAATGTTAAAATTGACAGCAGCAAAACTGACTGTTGAATATTATCCCACAGTCTAGAATTTGCCTCCTTTTGTTGGTGCAAGATGCTCTTCTTCTTTAGAGTCCTAAATTTTTGGAAAGGCTTTTTCTGCATTGAATAACTTGTCTATGTTCAGATAGTTAATCAAAGAATGTGATGTATTATTAAAATTGTCTGTTAACACTGCACTTTTGTAACTCTCCTGATCCTACTGAGGCTTGCAATAAAACAAGCAGGCCCCATTTTTCTAGGATATGGGCATGTAAAGTCTGAAGACTATTTCCTACCAGAGCAAAAATAAACTCCAATTCTACAGACCTCCTCTTTTGTGCCTGAGGTGAGTTTACTTCCCACAAAAGTCAGGCACCTCTCTCATACTTGTTATTTTCTTTCACAGGCCAGGGCTTTGACCGGCATCTCTTCAGCCTGCGCTATTTGGCCTTATCCAAGGGGCTGGCACTGCCGGATTTCTATCAAGATCAAGCCTACGCTCGCATTAATCACAACATCATTTCCACCAGCACTTTGGTGAGCCCAGCTGTGCAGTTAGGAGGGTTTGGCCCTGTGGTGTCTGATGGCTTTGGAGTTGGCTATCAGGTACAAGATGACTGGATAGGTTGTAATGTTTCCTCCTACCCGGCTAGGAATGGTAAGGAATTCCTTCAGTGTATACACAAGTCACTAGAAGATATCTTTAATGTTTTAAAGGGCAAGAAAATTGGTAGTTAGACATAAAGACATTGGAACACTTTACAGTTGCAGGACAAAATACAGATTATGTCTAAGTGACATACTAATCAGTGTTCACCATGGCTGAGACTGCCCAACTTAATTGTCTTCATGTATCATCATTGAACTTGAATACCGTTGGATTCACTAGGAAATTTCTATCTATTTTAAAGAAATCAATTACCGACCTTGAATGCATTTCAGGAAATACAGACATTAACTATGTCAAATTAACTAATAGATCTATGTGTTCTTAAAACACATTATCAAAAATAAGCATTTTTGTGGAGTTAATGAACCTGGAACGCCTGTGCTCTGTGAGTGTTCAGACAGACTACAGTACTGTGATACCACTCTTGAGCTGTTTGGTTTTAAAAAAATAGATGCAATAATTTTAAACATGGAAGAGTGGTTCCATTTGCACTCTTGCAGTAAGCTTGCTTACTAACTTGTCACACTTACCTCTTTAAACTTGAATTTATATCAGAACTGATTGTGCCTCGTATCAGAACTGATTGTGCCTCAACAGGTTTTAGAGACACAAAAAATTAAGTGAGAGTCTTTAAGTAACCTACAGTCACTATCTGGGGTTGTTAAACTGACTGGGAAAGACTGTATTTTAATAAAGCTGTCTATTAATAACCACAAAGTCCTTTTATTGCCGTATCTAAATATCTTGGTTTAGAAGACAGGCATCTGCTGAGGAGGGCAGGAGCCCCCCTCAGAATGAAAATGTAGACTCTCTCCCAATTACTATAATTTTGAAATCAAGGGGCTCTCAGGCAGAGATCTGGGGATAGGAATAACAGTTCTTTACTATTATGTAACAACAATAACTACAGCATTAACAAAACAGAACCAGGGACCCTGTGACAGCCTTCTCGGCCGAGATGGGAAGGGATGGAGGAGAGGCTTTGTTTCACAAACCCCTCGGGCTGTCAGTCCCGGTGCTCCTGCAGGGCTCTGAGGAACAGTCGGCTGGAACAGCAGGGGTGAGCTGAGATCCCGGGCCGGGGGATGAGGTGGATCAGCAGCTCTGTGGTGGTACCTGGCACTGGCACTGCCCAGCAGGACAGGGGGTGTGAGGCACACGGATGAAGAAGGAAGAAACAGCAGCAGCTCTCAGTGATGGCAAATTCCCTTCTCCAACCAACAACAGCTCCAAGACAGTGTCTTACCCTCCAGCCCAAGAAACCAGCCAGCCCCCAGCTGCCCCTGCCCTCCCCA